GTCGGCAACGGGTGATTGTGAATCGGAGAATAGGGTCGGCCAGCTTTTCAAGGCAAGAAGTAGTGCTGAAAAGAAGGAAGGCGGCGTTTGCTTAGAGCTTTCTATTATCTGGGCTATTCCCACCTTGGGATCGGCCTTCTTCCAGCACTGATGGAACCACCAGGCCTTGTGGCACAGAGTGTCGCCCTCGGGATGCACGCAGTCCTTGGACATGTCCATCAGTTTATCGCGCAAAGAGAGCGGGACCGTGGCGAACAGCTTCTCCAGGTGCACATCTCCATTGTCGTCCACCACTTCGATCTCGTGGAAGAAGCAGTTCATGTAGCACTTGAGCTTCTCGTCCTCGTGAATCTCGCCATCGCTGAACTCCTTAATAGCAGCTGCAAGATCAATCAGAAATTTGAGTCGTTATTTTATAATTATTTAAGGTTACTTGGTTATTTATGTATAATAATTTCTATAGAAAAAAATCTGCTTTATATTCTAACACACTGTAGCACAGAGTTACAGGGAAAATGTTTAAAGTATGGCCCATATATAAATTGTAAACAATTCAAAAAGTTACATTTTTTTGGTGACCCGTAGTTCTTAATTTAATATAGAATGCCAAAAAGGGCAGACATATTAACATTAAATACGGGAAGACACATATGGACAGCTAACGAATTCGAAAAATAGTTTTGAAAAATATTTGAAGATATTTCAGTTCTGTACCCAACTAGTTTTTATTGGCCTGCAATGATAATAAAAATAGTTTTCTTCATTAAATGCCTAGGTTGACTCGAACACTAATAAACTGAAATTACTGTAGTTTTCTACTAATAAAATGGCTTAAAATTATTTAGCCAACTTAATGGGCTGCAGCGTTTTTACAGCTTTAGTGGCTGTTTATTGATCTCAAGGCGCCGCATAGTCATGTGGCTTATATAAATTTTATTTTGGTCAACAGTGGTAAACTGAATGCAAATTTAGCACATGGCTAAGAGTGCCATAAGTGCTCACTCTCGATTCCTGCAATTATGGGCTCACTTTCGGCCGAGGACCGGTGGCCAACTCACCCTCGGAGACGCCCGTCTTCTCCACACAGGCGTCATGGAAGGGCTTGGCCATTTTCAGGATGCCCGGCGGTGGATACTGCAATTAAAAATTGTTGCTTAAGTGGGCGTGGCAGCGCGGAGGCGCAACAGCGCGGCCGGGCACTTCATTAACCCACGTTCTCGTCACGCTGCGCCGCTGCCGGCGGCAGGATCAGCGCTCCGCTGAGCAGCGACAAGGCGATTAAGGGGACAGACGCACTGACACGCCGACCAAAGCCATTCAAAGCCATTTTAATGTGGCTCTCTCCGTGCTCCGTTCTCCGTTCGCCGTTCCGCACAGGTCCTTTCCGTCCGTGAAACAGCAAAAATTGTTCCCTGCCTCGGCCTTGTTTGCGAGTTCTGAATAAAACAAAAACGAGCCCTGCAAAAAACAAGAGAGAAACGTGAAACGTGAAACAAAAGCGGCGATGCATAGCAGAGTACACGGCACAGGACGAGGGCAAGCGTCGGAAGGACAAGAATGAGAATCCGGATAAGGATGAGGACGAGGACGTGGATGAGGATGAGAATGAGGATGCAGATGCTGTTGACGACGATGTGCCACGCGTGACAGCTGGACAATGACAATGGGTGTACCAGTGTGTGGGTACACTGAGGGGAAAAGCGCAATTAAACTCCTTGGTTCTCGAAATATTTATCTTTCTCTTAGTTATATTTCCAGATACAACACTTCTTTTAAATAGTTTAGTTCACTATTTAATTTAAATTTTACAATCATCACTTAATTTTTATACTAAAATTATAATTTCTAGCTTTTTAAACAAACATAGTTAAAGTGTAAGGTTGTGTTTTTCTAAGCTCTAGCGGTTTTCCTTCCTTTTCGCAACTTTTGTTCTTGTGTTTTTTTATATTTTGTATTTTTGGAAGCCACAAGAAACCAAAAAAAATCATTTGTTTCTTGCCAGCTCAGCGCACGCTAAATTAATTCCAACCGCTGATGGCCGAACAAAAAGCGCCCGTCAAAACGGAAGCGGAACTGTGCCCGAGACGTCAGCGAAGTCGTCACAAGTCTACAATTGTCGTGTTCCGTCCGACAAACACATGCCCACGTGGCCACACGCCCTCCGCCCACTTCATGCACCCCACCCCCGGACCACCCGTCCTCTGGAATCCTTCGCCCAGGTCGACTGTGATATATTGCCTAGCTGGGATTCAAGGATTCGAGGATTCCTTATGATGTATGATGGGCGGCAATGGAAATTGTTTACAGTTGAAGCTCACTTTTTATAAGAAAAAGAAACTATAAATACAAGATCACATTGAAAAAACTATTTTTATATTTTAAATTTAAGGATTAGCTTGACCTTATTCACAATAAAATATGCTTTTAAATTGTATGTTTTTTAGATTTAAAACCAAGTTTCTGGACAATTACTAGACATCTAATAGGTGTTTTTTTTAATATTCTGAATTGTTTTCTTTTAAAATTATTTCAGATAAAAATAGCTGAGATTTTTGTATACTTGCGAGAGACACAGAAATATCTTTGGTTGAATTTTGTATGTACATCATTTGTACACTGAAACCAAATTTAAATTCTGATATTTTTCCCGGCGAACTCTGAAATGTTGAAAGCACCCAAACTCAATGGTCTTGTTGTATTTTAAGAATAGAATCTCCACGAAAACACCGATCCTCCCACTCTTGCAACGGATGCCAGGGTATCAAAATATAAAATTTCCCATTCGTTCGCTTCTTTTGAAATTGTACAACCGAAATACACAAAACAAAGACTTCAACTTGTGCACAACTGTCACTTTTGTTTCATCAAATGTCAACGCAACAACCGAAACAAAGCCACAAAACGACATTCGCCCCTCAACTCGCACACTCGCACACCCGCACATCCGTACACACACTCGCACACCCGCTCAAAAATGGAGGACGAATGAAATTACAGCAACAGCACATTTTTGTAGTATGAATGGAGGTTTGTACGTATACGTATCGCAGTTGTGTGCGGCAGGAACGATGGATGGTTTTTTAATTGCCATTTCAATTTTCGTGTTGCAACGCGTCGTTTGCCTATGCTTGGGCAACCTTCGAACTCCCATTCGCCTTCGTCCCGGCCACCTTCCGCCCCCTTCCCCTGCTCCGCCAGGTCCTTTTCCTTTTCCTGTTCCTGGCAGCTGGTCTTTCAACCTACCGCTCGCTTTTAGCAGAAGTAGTTATGGCGAAAATTCGATACTGCACACACAGGCCACGCAAGAATTGTTTGACAACCGCAGTCACAATTGAATTTGCTTTATTGCCGTTTGCAGCGTTTGGCTTTTATATTGATTTTGGCCAAGTTCACAAGACCACAACTGACTGCCGCACTCAGTTATCGGGCCAATTGACGCTTCATGCCGGGGCGAATGTCTCTATAATGGCATCGCCCATATAAGTGCAGCCCCCAACTTGAGGGCCACGCCCACTGGCGTGTCTCTAATCATTATGTGAAAATTCCAGAGTACACTCTGAAGGTAGTCGCGCTGAAAGTCGGAACTCGCCATCAAATTTAAGTCAGCTAACAAAAATCTATTGATTCCATTTCACTTTAGAGGGTGTCCAAAAACTGACTATTTTTTAGTTCGGAATGTATTAAAATAAAAGTATTTAATACACACGTTTTATTAGCTTGAACATTTTTCAATACAAAACAAGGGGAATCGTTCTGGACAGGTGGCGATAACTAATAATAACCTTTAGGTGATATTAAATGTAACAAATAATGCACAAGTACATATAAAATAACATTATACAAAACAATGTTTATTTTTTATTAATTATTTTATTTTATTATTATTATTTATTTATTATTTAAATATTAAATACATAATACATTTTTAATTGAAAAGGAATACTTATTTGTATGACTAGGCTTTCTTAATCTTTTGAAAAATTAATTGTCTATACTAAGCAACATGAAAAGATTTGAATGAGCTATAATTTATATGGGGACTTTCAGTTAGGTTTTTGAAGGCTTTAGGGAAAAAGGAATTTCCGTGGATTTTTAATAATTGCAGCATGTAGAAAATTTAGAATTGAAAGACATTCCTCTATAATTCTCTGAATTTGACAAACACTTCATCTCTTAATATATGTAAAGCAAACAAAATTGTTCATAAATAAATTCCTTCGAAGACTTTAGCTCGTACCAACTTTGCTAAACAGAAATGCATGATGTCGGCTTTAAAGTGTTGCTATTAGAAAGCTTTTCTCAGTGCATAAATGTTTTATGGGTCAAACCATTGCAGGCTAAATCAACTTCCGAGGCAGACGAAGCGAGAGAAATGCAAAAACGGAAAGTTCCAGGCTGTAAAAGTAATCAAGGTAAAGCAATCCCCACAATGGCCAGTTGGAGCTTTTGTTGTCCATCCAGGCTAGACGGACAGATTTTGTAAGTAGCTCAATATCGGAGGGCTCTTCCTGAGTGGAAATCCACTCGAACTTCTTCGAATGGATGCAGCAGATGCTGCCTTATCTAAACAACCAACAGGTAAATTAAGTTGGATCGGCTCAACTGAAGTGCTGGGTGGTAAACGAACTAAGGCAATTTATTCCTCAAATTGATTTCCGTTCCTCATATTGGAAATTAAGCATTACATTTCTGCCTCTCATCATTTGGAAAATTTTAATTCTTAGATCCGTTTTCTCGTCTGAACTTTAATTTGCCTGATATTCAAGCTTTGAAATAAAAGCAAACAACCACAACAAATTAAAATTTAATGTTAAACTAGCCCGAAAATAGGTCTGTTTTTAAAAAAATTTTATTTTTGAAACGTTTGTGACTGGAACTTAAATTTAAAATAAAGCTAAATAGCTGACTAAACGTGGCCAAGGATAATTTTCGTCACCAAAAAAACTCATGTAATAAATTAAACATTATAAAAGATAAAAATAAAGAAAATAAAATAGGAATTAAATTTAAAATAAGTTTTTTATTATATAAGCAAGTTCGATTGAAACATTAAATACATTATTAGGAAACTGGCTGAAGCTATGTGGTTCTCCCTGTTCTTAATTCCGTAGCCAAAAACTGTACAAATAATATACACCAAAATGTCTTACATAAAATAAACTTTAGACCAAAAAGTAGTGGACAGGATCAGCCTTCTTCCAACATTGATGAAACCACCAGGCCTTGTGGCACAGAGTGTCGCCCTCGGGATGAGTGCATCCCTTGGAGGCCTCAATCAATATGTTCCGTAGCTTTTCTCCCGGAATCGCATTGAAAAGCTTTTCCATGTGGACATCTCCATTGTCATCGACCACCTCGAACTCGTGGAAGAGGCAGTTCATATAGCATTTGAGGGCCTCGTCCTCGTGTATCTGCCCATCGCTGAATTCCTTAATGGCCTCTGTTTGTTTTTTAAAAATTTGAAATTATTTCCTAGGCATGTAGAAGTTAACTTACCATCAGTGACGCCTGTTTTGGGGGCACAAAGGTCATGGTAGTGCTTTGCCAGTTTGAGAATCGCTGGCGGAGGCCACTAAAAATAATGCAAAAATAATAATTCGTGATGGGAAACTCTTCTTTTCACCGGAACAAACCGCAGCATCGCGCCTTGGTTCCTGACCAGCGGAACAGCCGAACAAAAATACCAGCAGGGCCAGGTATTTGATCATTTTGAAACTGCAATGAATCGCCTGAGGGCCGGGATTGCTCTTTTATGAGATTGCTGGGAGGATAGATTTCAATATTCAACGCCGTGATGACTGTCATTAGAAAACGCACACTAATTGCAGGCTGCCATTTGCAATCGAATTGCGAATCCATTTTGGCAGCACGCAAAGCAAATGAATAAATGACAGCCCATACAGAGCTGCAATTGATAGCCAACTGCCAAATAGAGAACTAAAAACTGGAAACACACAAATTAAGCAATGATTGTATGTGGCCGGGACCTGCAATTTTTGGAGTGTCGTTCCCAACACGCTGAACTGGTTCATTGCGATCTGAGCTTTGGTTTTGAAATACTTTATTTTTGTGGGCGTTGCAGCACGCACACATTACGAGTGTACGAGGTTTATTGTGTTTTGTGTTTTGTGTTTTGTGTGGGGGAACATGTCATAAAAGTCAAATATCGCTCCACGAAAAAACGTATGTCAAATTCAATTCCAATTTGCGTTCCTTTTGACACGCCGACATCAGCACATTCGCGTAGAAAATGGTGAAATATTTGAAATACTGAACATAACTCAATTGCCTTGAAGTTGAGCACTGAAAGGTGCCATCAATCATGGTACTCCTGAAAATATATTACAATTTTTCAATCACATCTGGTTGAGGTTGTAAATTGAAAAGTAAACGCATTTTTATTTTTGTTCTTAACAATGGTCATATTTTATTAAACTTTCCCTACCCATTAACATTTCTTCTCGTTAAGAATGTGGCTGCCACAGTTTCTGAAGTCAATAAAATGTGCCACAAAGTGCGAAATCTTGGTCATAGATTTAGTGCCACCCAAAGGGGTTTATATTAGGTGTGATGTTCTTAAATGGAAAAGTTTACAATGTCGTTATTTAATACAAATTCGATGCTCTAATTTAATCCCAAAAGGTATTTATCCTTGCAAATACCTTTGAGTTCTTTATCACTTTTGTCTTTTAAGTTGAATGTGTCAAAGCTTAAGTCAGTAAATTGAGTAATTTAGCCATATAATAAATATTAAAACACAAAATAAATAAAAGAAGGAATTTTCCCAATTGTAGGTTAAACTGTAAAAATGTTTCAAAACTAATTGATGAATTTATAGCTTTGCAGCTTTGTAAGCCTCCACTTGGGCTCCTTCTTGTTTGTTGTTCATGTACTAATGGCAAATATATTCCAGAGCCATGCACTTCAATCAGCCATGAAATCAAAGCAATTTCTATGCGCTGCTCTCAATCAGCAATGCAAGCGCATCCGCGGAGCTCGTGACCCGATGCAACTGCAGCAGCAACTGCAATTGCAATTGCAGTGGCAACAGCAACAGCAACATCGCATCAATAGCAGTTGCCTTTGCCGCTGGGCAAATGCGGAATATAATTATGAGGATGCAGCGCGCTTGCAGCTGGCTGTCAGCCACATATTAATTTTATTATGACGCCATTAATGCTTGTCGATGCATAAAATTATAGATGCGCTCTTTAGATAGCGCTAATTAAATAATTAAATATGCTTTAGGTCATTGCCAGTCAGCAGATTTATGAGCGCCATCGATCAAGCGCGACAATTATGCAATTCCAGATGGCAACAGCTGGACAAAATGTGTTTCACATTTTTTCTTATTTTTTTCTCTTTTTCCATTTACCTCGTTTCTTTGGTACTTGCATGCCAAGTTCTGTTTAAAAAAATGTGTAATACAAAGTAGTAAAACCAGAATCCTAAAAAAGACCTGCTCTAAATCGCCTTCTGAAAAAAAAATACAACAAAGTAGTTCGTTATCCGCTTTACAAGAGTTGCTGCAGAAATATTTCACCTCGCTTTTGGATTATTAAAGCTGCCACACATATTTTCATGCATCTCTCATCTAGTTAAAAGAACACTGAAATAACTACATCCTAAATAATTGTGCCAGAAATCATTTAGTCGATCGCATTTATTTTGGAAAAAAATAATTTTAAAAATACTATATGGCCTGTATATAACCCGTATATTTCACTAAAAATTACTTATTTTATCAACTTTTAGGACAACATTTTTAAATTTTAAGTCATTTTAATTACAAAAACTGTCCTTTATTTCTATTTAATGTACTTTGCCTTTTTTTTAAATATTATTTTAAAACATGTATTAAAATGTTTACGAAATTGTCTTTTATTTATTTATTAGCTATTTTTTCTGAAGCTTTGTTTCGGTTTTTTTTGGTAAAATGGTGCTCTCCTATCTTGTTCCTAAGAAATATACAATTACAATTGCAGGTGTATAAACACATTGCATTAAACATTTCCTCCTTCAGCTTACTTATTTCCTTTGAAAATACTTAACTGGCATGGTGACAAATAACCTGACATCTAAAGCTCAAGCTGTTTATCCCGGTAAAAGCAGGGAATTCCTGCTTTATTAAATACTTTAAACTGAGTTGCCCAGATATTAAGCCGGCATATCATAATGACTTCCGAACAACGTTTTAAGTCAAATGCATTGCGATTGCTTGGCAAGATATCGAGCTAATGTTTTAATCCAATGAGGCTAGCTTGTTACCCGATTTGGCAGCAACAAAAATACCAAAAAAATAAGTTTGACGACATCTGGCAGAATCGGAGGTCACACGTGACAGCGATAGAAGATGGGAAAGCTGAAAGCATAAGTAGCTGTAAGCTGGGTATCGATGCACGTGAGTGGCACGGATGTCGGCGACTTAGTGGCTCAGTGGCAATCACGTGCCAAGCCAAATTGAAAGACTTATGACCGCAGCTATGGGGCTTTCATAACAGGAACCGCTCAAATTAACCTCCCGCCTTCGGCAATCAAATACCGCTCTGCAAGGCGCGAAAATGCATAACACGATAATAAGCAGTCAGAGTAATCATACGCCGCGTTGGACTGCGGTCCAAAATGACTCAAGCGGCAGTGAGAAAAATTCTAAAAAAAATATTGTTTTAACATTTAAAACACACATAAAAATAAAATAAGTACATCTTTGCCAAATATTTAATTATATTCAACACAATTATGTTTCCGTTGTTAGATCAAAAATATAAAATGTTGTTTAACATCGATTTAAAGTAGATGCATTACATAATCAAAGCAATGTAAATATTCTAGTTTGTTACCTTAGTTTATGTGTTAAAGAGTAATTGAAATTATTTAAAGTTGGGGATTGTGCGCTTTCATTAATTTATGCACTCATTTCCCTCAGTGAAGTATATGGAAATGGCCAACTGCCATGAAACAAACAACGGACTTGGGCAACAAGTTAATTGCAATAACAACAAGAGGCACAAATACAACACGCACAGAGCCATTAAAAATAATGCGAGCTAAAACACCAGCCCTTCACCCCTCCACAGTCTTGAGCACCATCATTTGTCGCACACGAAACGCGTTAATTATGGCCATTGCACTTTTCCCACCGACTTTCCCGCTTTCCCACCCACAGCATTCATTAATTACTATGCAAGCTAAGCGCTCGGCAAAAGTTTTGGACAGGGCCACCATCGCATACTTTGACATGCAAGCGCAAAGTGTCAAATTAATTTTTAATCGCCGCCACCCGAATGTTGCCAAATAATAGATTTAGATGGGTGGTGCGTTGTAATTAAAGTTTTCGGCATCTGGCGCCACAGTTTAAGGCGAACGCAAAGGGCCCGGTCATTTGGTTCGACATGTATGGGTATGGGTTTGGGTCCGGCCATCCTCGTCCTTCTCGTTTTCATTGTGCTTTGTTTGACTTGGGTTAGGCGCCGCTGTCATCGGCATCCTTGTCACCAGCTCTGGGCCATAATAATGCACTTTAATGCGGCGCCAAGCATCGGCCAGCAATCTATTGACATTTGACACTTGCAAATTAAACGCTCGCAGGCAACATCAGCAGTGGAAGTGGCTGTCCTGGCTGCACAATTTATTGACACCTTATTTGGCAGCGCACACACACCGAGCGGCACAACTCGTTTTGCGGTTTGCACATGCAATTTACATGTGTAATTTTTTGGACCGGCCCAGGCATGAAAAGTTGCCGCTCATGGTCAGTGCCCCGGACCGCAGGACTAGAGTCCCAATGACAGCTGGACGACAACTTCGTTAAACGAACTGCAGTCCGCTCGAAAAGTACACTGCGGAATTGAGATTGCAAATTGTTTAAATATATGAAGGCTATCTGGAACTGACATGGAGTAATTTGCTATCTTGTTATGGCTCAGATTTCTAAATTTAGGCCTTTTTTCATTAATTTTGTCACACGATACGGTTAATGTCAGATTAATTATTTAAAAAGAGTATCAAAGTACAACATTTAAACTATATTTTGACAAATTTTCATCGAAAACAGAAATAAATGAGCCGTTCGCAGCCAAGCTCCGTAGGCGCCTCCAAGAAAAAAGGTTTTGCGGTGGACAGCATAACTCCTTAGTGGATCATTAGAAAACAAGAAAGGAAAGCTAACTTCGGGCGGAGCCGAAGTTGATATACCCTTGCAGAATATTATGTACATTATATTCTCCAAAATTATTCATATGATGCATTCTTAATACTCATAAAAAATCCCAACTTCCTAACTTTAAAAACACCAAAGTTATGGCATTTCCAATCGTTCAGTTAAATGGCAGCTATAGGATATAGTCGGCCGATCCTTATGAAATTTGGTAGGTCGGATTGATTAACCAAATATAAAACTCATAGAAAATCCCAGCTTCCTAACTCTACAAACACCAAAGTTATGGCATTTCCGATCAATCAGTTATATGGCAGCTATAGGATATAGTCGGCCGATCCTTATGAAATTTGGTAGGTCGGATTGATTGGCCAAATATAACACGCATAGAAAATCCCAACTTCCTAACTTTACAAACAGCAAAGTTATGGCATTTCCGATCAATCAGTTATATGGCAGCTATAGGATATAGTCGGCCGATCTCGGCCGTTCCGACTTATATACTGCGTGCAAAGGAAAGAAGGGTGTGTGCAAAGTTTCAATTCGATAGCT